TCATTAATGGAAGGATCAACTACTGGTTCTGAAATCAATTTATGCGAACCAGTTTAACTAAGTTTTGCTATAAAAATCCGAGAAACAAGTCATTCTTTGTCTATCACTCTATTTATATTTGTTTATTTTTGCAAGTATGATGAGTATATATAACAAATAAGGATGAATTAGTTGGTCTCCTTGACCTAGTTGTAGTTTCATATTTCTTCAAGAATTACAATATCCATCAAATATTTGACAAAAACTCTGTCATTTCCGTTTTCCAGTAGGTTTTCTGGACTACCAGTAGAGCTTGGGCAAGTACAGCATTCACCCCATTTAGTTTAAGGTGATGAAGTAATGGTAGTTTAATTTTCCCACAATAATATAATTAGGCCCCAAGTTTCCGTTGAATTTCATATAGGCTTGCCTTCTAAAAGTTGTCATTGCCCAGAATGGATCGCAGTTTTGACTTCGCACTCCCAGCGGGACTCGAACACGGATATTCGAGGTTATAAGCTGCAATATCTGGCTTCCAGCCACCTAGGCAAGGCAGAAACTGCAGCAAATTCTGGATGAGAATATATTTTGGGCGCCAGAGATATTAAAATTTAAATGAAAAATGGTACATACCCAATGCAATGGGGGAAGATTCAAATGGCAGTCCTTCATCTTAGACAAATAAGTAGGAACATATCTTTCGAGAACTCAGTCACTGTATGGGAACTGTAGAAGGATGTTTCGAGGTTATCGTGTACGCCAACTTGAACGAGAGAAATGGAACTAAAATCAAGCTAATACAGAATAACAGGAAGTTGCTAATCATGTATGATCAGACCAACCCATGAATTATTTTTTCAAGCACTTTCGCAACAGCTTCATATGAAGCCAGTAAATTGGTCCCTTTGCTATGGGTTGAGAATTTGTAGCGTCACTTTGAGAAGTTGCATACATCATCTTGTATGGGCATTTCGTCATTACCGCGTGTGTGCATGCGTGTATGCATAGTTTACATGCCTATTGCTGGTATTTTCCTATCCTTCCATTATTTTACTCGCCAGGGCCTGCAAGTTGTCAATTCTTTCGAGCATGGGTTCAGCTTGTGCTGAACCAGTTTAGCCTTGCTTCAGTCCTGCCCATAATTCATTGCAAATGGTAAGTGGACCCACGAAGCTGTCACTTTAACGCTCCTTATGCCAAAATGCTTTTCTGCATTTAACTTCAGCCTCCTGACGCGTCGTCCATAGATGCATTCAGGTCTTTCTGCTCCTCTCTCCTGTCCGTGTATGTCCATTGGTAGCCCTTGTGGGGATGTGTGCCCGTCTGCTTTGGTTGCTTTAATGGACGATCTATTTGTTCGAATGCTTGTGTGTGTATGTATGAATGTATGCTTCTGTGGGTGTGTGAGGGTATGAATTTGCACGTGTGTCCGTATTTTTATTGACCCATCGGGCAAAAGAGCGAACATCACCTCAAGCTTTCTTGTGTGTCGTAGTCGACCCACGAGTCTGCTGCTGTTGTATCCGGCTGTACATGTACAACAATGTACAGTTGTGTCAGGGTCCTGCTTTGTAGGAAGGCGACCGGAAAGGAGGCGAAAGCGCAAAAGGGGATAAAGGCGAAATCGAGTAAAATAACAGCCGGCCGTAAGCCGCAGAAAGTGACTCAATTATGGCCAGCTTAGATCGGGCAAACGAATTTAGGCATCAACCAAGTAGAGGGACCAGAGTTAAAGGGACATGTGCTTTTCTCAGCCTGTAGAACAGCGGCTAGCGCAACCCTGACCTTTCAAGAGGGGGTCACCAGCTCCATTTCGGCGTCTGTCCGCCGAAGTGTAGAGGCAGAACAGACCGGACAGACGACGAGGCACGCCAAGTGCGCTTCTGCCGGCACTCCGGCGAATGGGCATCGCCATCAGCTGTACCACTGAACTCTTGAGGCGGCAGTTCGGCGAATCGACTGACCACCATGACGGACGCCGCGATGCCTGGCGCTTTCAGGATGCAGGACAATGGCCAGTCAGACGGGAGAGGCAGCAGCCGGTGCCTGGGGAGTAGCAACGTACATTTGGAACTATAGTTCTCCATGGCCGAACGGGATACCTGCCATTGGGATGGGTAAGTTGGAGCAAAACGGATAGAACAGGCAATAAAATGGAGATAGAGGGCGAGAAAGATAAGGTTTTTAATTGGACAAATAGCCAGGTTCAGTAGGAACCTTTTGGGAAAATTGGGCTGATCGGCTAAGGCAAGTTAGTGTGGGGAGTGTAGAGGATGAAAGTGTTTGCAGATTCGAGAGAGATGACCAGCCATTTTTTTGGCTTTTCTGGAGATAAAGATAGAACCGGAGAGAGAGAGAGGATATTAGGGCCGGGAGGGAGAATAAGGGATGCGAAATGAGCAAGATGAAGGGATGTTAATGTGGGAGGTGGGTTGGTTAGTAGAGAGAGAAAAAGGAAACTATGAGAAAGGAGAGCGAGATAAGTTGGAGGAAAGAGGGAAGTATGGGGGATATTAGCGAGTAGTAGTAAGGTGGCCAATTAAAAAGACA